GATCTTTGTATAATGTAATCACATTGATAGTTTCACGTACAGTTAGGTCTCTGTATTTGTACTGAAAAGCAAAATCACAAGAATTTAGTTTAAAACCAATGTACATATTTTACTGCTAGGTTAATTTTCTTAAAATCTTATTTTTTAATAGCACTCTTCTTAAAAGTATAATGGTTCTGACTAATCATTAACAGTAAAGCCTGAAAAACTTAAAGTTATTTGTGTAAAGCAAGATGGACTAATGGTATAAATATACCGCCATAAATTGCTAAAATGACATAGGAGGGTATTAACTAAAAGTTATATTTAAGTTGGGAGCTAAGATAATGTTCAAAGGAAAAAGTGATCTGTAATATATAAAAAGATAATATAATGTTGTATGTCAACTGTACCTCAAAATAAAATAGGTCAAGACAGGTGGAGCAAAGTACTATGATGGGTGCAGGGTCCCCCAATCAGATAAAGAATCAAGAACCAGCCCTAACCAGTTTGGCTCAGTGGATAATAGAGCGTCGGCCTGCGGACTGAAAGGTCCCAGGTTCGATTCCGGTCAAGGGCATGTACCTTGGTTGCGGGCACATCCCCAGTGGAGAGTGTGCAGGAGGCAGCTGATCGATGTTTCTCTCTCATCGATGTTTCTCTCTATCCCTCTCCCTTCCTCTCTGTGAAAAATCAATAAAATATATTTAAAAAAAAAAAAGAATCAAGAACCATCACCTGTGTCTAGGGTCCTGGCTATCAATTCCTACAGGAACCACACCCAACTGAAAGAATAACACCTGAAGCTAGTCCTCCACCAGAGTATGAAATTTCACAAATTGATACTACAGATTCCTACCATCTACTTATTGGCTGGATAGAAAAGATGCTGATACTCGGCATTAATATTATCACTTGTAGGAGACTCAGTTTTTCAGCTATTGGGCCAAAAAACTAAAAGATAGGTAGAATGCCTTCTTCCACCTCTCCCCTACATCCTTTTTGTTTCTTAGGGTAAAGAGAGGTTAGACAGAGAGGGAGGCAGGTGCCTCTAGAGCAGTGGTTCTCAACCTGTGGGTCGCGACTCCTTTGGGGGTTGAACGACCCTTTCACAGGGGTTGCCTAAGACCATCGGAAAACACATATATAATTACATATTGTTTTTGTGATTAATCACTATGCTTTAATTATGTTCAATTTGTAACAATGAAAATACATCCTGCATATCAGATATTTACATTACGATTCTTAACAGTAGCAAAATTACAGTTACGAAGTAGCAACAAAAATAATTTTATGGTTGGGGGTCACCACAACATGAGGAACTGTATTAAAGGGTTTCGGCATTAGGAAGGTTGAGAACCACTGCTCTAGAGGAAGCCTTGAAATCTTAATTATGGTTTTAAAATTCAAAATCAGTATCTGAATATTCTTGTCCATATATATACTTAATACTAATGTTATCAATTTAAAGATCAAAAATTGCATGGAACAGACACTCTTCAGTCACACAGTATGCAAAACAATGTACTGTTTTTTAAAAAGTGATATATAAATGTTACAACATAGGTCTGGGCCACAATTTTTTAGGGCTCCCCAAAACTTTCTCGACAATTAAGAATAACTACTTTATCAAAAGAAAACCAAGAAGACTAGAAGATACTAGACAATCAAGAGAAGAAATATTTTGAAAACTGTCAGTTTCTGCCCTAGCTGGTTTGGCTCAGTGGATAGAGCATCGGCCTGCAGACTGAAGGGTCCCAGGTTCGATTCTGGTCAAGGGCACATGCCTGGATGGCAGGCTCAACCCCCAGAAGGGGGTGTGCAGGAGGAAGCTGATCAATGATTCTCTCTCATCACTGATGCTTCGATCTCTCCCTTTCCCTTCTCTGAAATCAGTAAAAATATATTTTTAAAAAAGATATGAAAGCAACCCAAGTGTCCATCAATAGACAAGTGGATAAACAAGCTATAGTGAATAAACGCAGTGGAATATTACTCAGTCATAAAAAAGAATGAAATCTTACCATTTGTGACAGCATGAATGGACCTAGAGGACATTAATGCTAAGTGAAATAAGTCAGACAGAGAAATACAAATACTATATGATTTCACTTTTATGTGGAATCTAAAGAACAAAACAAACAATAGAAACAGACTCATAGATACAGAGAACAGACTGATGGCTACCAGCGGTGAGGGGGGCTGGGAGGCTGGATGAAAGGTGAAGGGATTAAAAAGTACAAACTGGTAGTCACAAAGCTGTCATGGGATGTCAAATGCAGCACAAAGAATATACCCACTAATACTGTAATGACTATGTATGGCGCCAGGTGGAAATATCAGAGGGAACACTTTGCAAAGTATCTGCTTATCTAACCACTATGCTGTGCACCTGAAACTAATACAAAATAATAAAGAATGTAAACTGCAATTGAAAAACAAGATTTAAAACGTAAATGAAAAGATAGTTGCTCTGAGCAAACCAAAGCCCCTGACATGGTAATGCAATTCTCTTTATTTCACCCGAAGTAGGGAGAGACTGGTATTTTGGCTCCTCTGGGCGTTTGTGCCTAAATGGAGCCTGTTCACCAACAGTTACTGCTCTCCCGCGGGTCGGGGACGGAGCTGCGTGAGGAATACAAAACAGGGAGACACAATCTCCGGGGCTTCGAGGGAAGGGCCAGAGCTGACGATCCCTACACTGGAGTGCAGGGCTGCCCCAGATCGACAATTAACTACAACCTTCTCTTTGTGTTTATAAAAACGAAAACGAAAACTGTTCTGCCCCACAGACTGCTCCAAACTCAACCCAAAGAGAAGGGGGCGGGCGGCAGGTGGCAGACGGCCTCCAGCCCGCGCCTTTGTTGACAGCCGCCGCCCCCCACCCTCCCCGACCCGGCATCGGGAACGGGACTAGGCGACCGGGACCTCTGGGTCCGGGCCGCACAGGCGCCCGAGGACCACACCGGGCTCCCGGCCGGTGGGCCGGCAGGCTCGCTGGACTGGTCGGGCCATGCCGGCCCGGGCACGGAAGGCGGCGGTGGGCGCGCGCCGGGGCGAGCGCGTCGCGGCCTCACCTTGGACACCATCTTCTTGAGCTGGCTCTCCGACACGGCCATGGCGGCCACCGCGCCGCTCCGTCCCCGCAGGCAGAGGGTCAGCCGCGCCGGGGCCGCCCAGGCCGCCCCACAGCACTGAGCACCGAGCAGCCAGCCCCCCGCCGCCCCGCCCCTAACAACAGGAAGTCGGCCGCCACGACAGACTTTCCGCTTCCGTTACGTCACTTCCGAGGTCAGCGCTGAAGCTGGGTGGTTCCCGCCCACCCGCTGCTCAGGTGCGGCTGGTCGCGCCCGTCTTGCGGCGCCGCTGGTGCCGAGGGTCGAGACCCGGGGCTGGGGCAGATCTGCAGGTGTTTTCACTGTTGCCCTCAGACTAGGGGGGCGGGTGCAGGGAGGGCAAGTACTGAAGGTCTTGCCAACGAGCTTTAATGGCTGATTCATCGAACGGGAGGGCACTGGACTGGGCGCCAGACAACTGCCACTGACTTGCCCTTGTGATAATATCAAGTGCACGTCTGGCTTGGGCCGAAGTTTTGGGTTTTTTTTTTGGGGGGGGGGGGTTTAAAACATATTTTATTGATTTTTCCCAAAGAAGAAGGGGAGAGGGATAAAGAGTCAGAAACATCGATGAGAGAGAAACATCGATCAGCTGCATCCTGCACACCCCCCACTGGGGATGTGCCCGCAACCAAGGCACATGCCCTTGACCGGAATCGAACCCTGGACCCCCGAGTCCGCAGCCCGACGCTCTATCCACTGAGCCAAACCGGATAGGGCTGGGCGTAAAATTTTAACCGTTCTAACACGGGCGGCTTGCATCAGGGTGTGTGTTTGTCTGAAGCTTGTAAGTTCTTAATACTGCATTCCCAAGGGCCAAGTGCAGATTCCTCCTTCACAGGAAGCCTGGCAGTAATTTCTTCAGGAAACCATTCCCCTGGGTCAGAACTTCTCTGTGCCCAGACCTAAATGCTAACACAGGCTGCATTTTACTTTGCACTAGATTTGTATCCTAACCTGTCCACTGTCAAAAGTCCAAGTCTTTGAGGGCAGGCTCGTCTTCAGATGCTCATTGTGTACAGCACAAGAGTACTTGATCTTAATTGAATTTCTACTTCGGATAAAAGTTGTTCATAGTCATATTAGTCATTGAACATTACCAGTTTTATAAGTATAATGTTATTCAAGGTATTGTAAACTGTAGTATGGTAATTTGGATGATTCAGCCTAGTGCTAAGGAGAAACAGGTTGTGGTATTAATTCCCTTCCAAGTTGGCACTTAAGTGAAGGTCACATACACAAAGGGTGTAATCGAAACCACGTGAAAGCATCATTATAAATCGTTGCATGCAAACACAAAAACTATATTGCTTTTAAAAATATGGACATCATACGTTAGTAAAGCATAGTTTGTCAAAGGAAACTATAAGGCAGTCTATCTTGCCACTGCACCTCTTTTAAGTCACTTAAAAGCAATCTGGTTTTCAAACAGCTTACTCAGGAGTACCTTCGCTTAGGCAGGGAAAGAGAACGCCCGGCCCGCCCGTGGGCTGTACAACGCTTGAGAAATCATTCAGTCTGGCCCTGCCAAGGAATTAGGGGTGAGTAAATTAAATGTCTGACCACATATAGTAGGCAAATTTTTAAGTTGATAATTTTGCATGACCTCGAATGATGTTATAAATATCCAAATGGCTCTTGGCAGAAAAAAAGTTCCCCACACCTAATTTAGAGCAACTATGCTTTTATTAATTAGGGGAGCGCAATTAATAAAAAGTTTTCTTGCTAAAAATATTTTTTTAAAGTTTGCAAACAATTAACAAAATCCAGTCTCTTCATTTTGCATTTAAGCCACTTAAAATGAAATAACTAAATATCTTGGGGACTATAGAATTATATGAAAGGATCTTTCTCTTCAATCTGAATAAAGTTCCTTCCATTCAATAAATTAAACATCTCCCGGTAATTTTAAAGTCAAAGTTTATTTTTTTCATAATTTTTGACATTTAAGGAAAATCGCAATGTAAAACTGGAAAAATAAATATTTATTTCTGCTACAATATCAAAGAATCATTTTAATCCAAGCATCACTAAAACTTAGAACAAGAGATATTGCATGATTTTGGAAAAATAAAAAAGTGAAACTTAATAGCAGCATCACAAATGTCAAATTATTACCAAATCATAGTGAGATAGTGGTGGTACTACTTCTTGACTTGTATATGGAATTTACAACATAACTGATAATATTCAACACTCAAGGAACTGTCTGATAGAATTACTTCTATGTTGTGGGCTTCTGTAGGGCAAGGGCTGTTTCTCATCTTTGAATATTCAGATTCTAACATAGTACTTGGAATAATAATAGGTGCTCAATAAATATCTGTTGTATTGTCATGTTTCTATAATGTAGCAAATTATTGGCAATTCATCTATAATACAGTATCTTGTGGTTAGGTTTATGTTTTAGAGCATAGTAGACAGTAAAATTATCTAATTTCTCATTAGGTACCTGATATTAGAAAAGGCTAGTTGTATTTCTAAAAAACGTAAGAATCGTTCTTTCAGTTTTACTTTCCTATCTCATACAAATGGACAATGAGGATACATTGTTAGAGTAACACCAAAATAATCTACCCATCTAGTGAACTTACACCAGAACTATGCTCATCTCTCTCAAATGTCCAAGGTTTTTATACTAGTTAATTCTGGTGGGAATCTTTCCAAGCATATTACTTTCCTACTTTTTAAACACAGGATATAATATAAACTGAATTATATACTGAATATACTCTCATCTTTTCTTAATGATTTAAGCTCATCATTATAAACATTATTATACTAAATCAGCATTAGATCGACGGTTTCCTCTCTATCTAGGATGTATCTCTCCTTTAAACCATTGGGCTCCTATCTCTCTGACCATTTATTTATGATACACTTTCAAAGCACCTGGACTTCTTCGCAGAACTTATTACATTTTCAATTGTATATTTATTTGTGACATTTGATCACTGTGTATGCCATACTAGATTATAAGGACCTTAAGGGCTTGTACCTAACCCAGGTTTGCTCACCACTGTACCTGCAGTGCCTAAAAATGCAGTGCTGCGGTATAGTGGGCTCCCAGTCAATACTACCTGAATAACCAAATAAATAAGCACCTACCGCAGTGCATACCCCTCTCTGCCATTTGCTGAGGGAAAATCTGGGAAGTCAGGGAATCAATCTTTCTAAAAACTACGTTGGAGGGGAAGTCAGATCCTACATGAGAATGGAAGGTACAGAACCCCAGCTTTAGGGGCCTGTGGTGACTATTTTGGCTATTAGGCCTTTTCCCTCTACTAGCAATTAGAAAAAGTAGAGGTTGTATGGATAAGTGCCCTTTACCCATGAGATCTTGGTCACTAAAGCTCAGTTTCCTCCTCTATAAAATGAGGATGATAATCCCCACCTCAATGGTTTACAGTGAGGATTCAACAAAATAATAAAGTGCTCATCACACTGCCTGAAACATCAAGTGTTCATGTTGGTTGTTACTATTAGTTGTATGCCACCTCAGTAATGATATGCAATCTTTCACATATGAAGATATTGTTATTGAACCATCACCAAAGCGTATGTACTCTGATTGTTTCTTTAGGAATTGTTAAAGGATCTGCTCAGAATAATCAGTTCATCCAACCTCTCCCCCTTTAAAACCAATGGCTTTTATGACAACCTCATATTTTAGCTTAAAAGTAAACTGCTTGGCTTTCATTCACAATCTATTTTCACTGAAAATACACATTTCTCTATGATTCTACTAATATTACTGTGAATTTATGAGATGTTAGAATTCTGATAGCCCAGAAAGAGGTTATAGAAAATTTCAAAAAGGACAGTTCCACTGGAAGGTAAACTATACTTTTTCTTCATATATTAAAAAAATTCACTTTCCCTTTTACTATTTTAAAGTACATGTAAAATTCTTTTCCATTGTTTGGTAGCTAATTAATTGAAGAAGGAAAACAAAATGCTTTATTACCATTACTACCAACTTTATTTTTATACCTTAAATTGTGGATCCTTTGACTATATACCTAGCACAGATTTGGCAAATCCATACTGACCCTTTGACTTAGCATGTTTACTCTAACAGTTGAAGAGTACTTTTCTTCTAAAAATATATTACTTTCAAAATATTCCCAAAGTGCTGAATGTGCTTTCAGTTGAGGATACATAATTTTACATGATGCATTTTGCAGATAAAGTTCATCTCCGCTATAGGTTTAAAGAATATCTATATATAAAAGGCTAATATGCAAAGTGTTTCCTCGGGAGTTCGACTGGGAGTTTGATCGCTTGCTATGACGTGCGCTGACCACCAAGGGGCAGTGCGGAACATGGCAGGCGACCAGTGGCAGTGGCGGGGCGCTGAGGGAGCGAGGGAAGGAGGAGGCAGGGAGACGGGGAGGCAGGGACCCTGATTGGCTCTGATTGCTGGCCAGGCCTAGGGACCCTACCCATGCAAGAATTTCGTGCACCGGGCCTCTAGTAGTTATATAAAGAACGACAAAGAAAATCAGATTTTCCCCCTCCTTATCTAACTCCCTAAGAATTCAAATTACAAAACCAACCAAAAAACCATCTACCTTAACCAAGCAGTTTGTAAGGATAAGTAATAAGATACAGAAGTTCTCAACCCTATATATGTTGGCAAAATTAAATGACGCTTCCCTCCAGGTAGCTGTGAACTTTGGACTTAAAGTTTTAACTGTTGCTGGAGATCATGGAGTGAGGAGGCGCTGCTCTGGAGCTTCTCAGTCACTCTGTCTTCTTGCACTGTGCTTTTGATGACTTCAGATACCCCACTGGTTCCAAGGATGCAAGGCAAACTTAAAAACACTTCACTATTTATATCATAATATCCCTGAAATGAATAAAATTAGATTATAATAGAGCTAAAGCACTACAAACAAGTTAATATCATAAATATGGTTACTTTCTTGCTTTTATAGCCGTAGTACAAAGTTGAACTTTAAGAAAAAAAATTGTTCATTTATTTTCTAAATTCAAGTTATTGTTTCAGATATTTTTTGTGAGATGGGAGGAACTTGGTCAAAGATATCCCCTTTATGGGAAGAGAAGCTAGCCCCCTGCAATATGAGTAGCAAGTTGGGGGCAAAGAAAAAAGACTGTTAGAATAGATTCCCAGGGAGGGGCACAGAATGGGCTCTGGGTACAGTCCAATGTAATAACCTGTTTTAAGTTCTCCTTTCCATGTTTTATTTCTCCTGGAATTCCTAAGTTTTCAAGAAGATTTGTTTAAGCATTTGTGCCTGTCTTAGTGGTGCTTGAGATGAAGTGGTAAAGGACAACTGAGCCGGAGAGTGCAAACTGATGAACAGCTAAGACTGGTGACACATCAGTCTGGGGTGACCTGGCTGGCTAAGGTGATAAAGGACAACCAGAAGGAGTTTATGGAATACATAAATGCTTCTTAGGAATTCCCCAAAATTACATGAGGGTGAAGAGAAACATAGAAGTGCAGAATTTCCATAGCCAAGCAGGAGAGGGATTAGACCAAACTGTTTCCCTTCCATGTATTAATCTAATATTGAAGATACCTCATTACAATATGAATAGCATCTTTTCAGGTTTTAAGCTAATAATATAAAAGTTTAACCATATGATGAGAGAATGAGAATAGCAATTACCTTTGCTAAAGTTGATACAGAATGCACTTTCTTTCTATCATTTATAAGACTGTCAACCAGGTCAGCTACTGATAGTCCAACAGACCAGGATCTTTGACCTTTTACCTTTAATAGTTCCATGGCTCTAGGTTATGGGGAAAAAAATCAATTCAGAAAATGAATAAAATATGCATTTAGTCTTTCAATTTAAAGTATTAGTTACATATTTTTATAACACAGAAATATGAGTTATACACTAATTGTTAGGAAAATCCACAGATAAACTAATGATTAAGGTTTTCTTAAAATGTTGGATAAGCAGTTCACAGAAGGACAATAAAAATGACTTAACATAAAAAGATGCTCTACCACTACTACTATTTAACTAAATGTGAGTTGAAACAATACATCAGTTTTGCCTAACAAAATTGGCAAATATTAAAAAAAATCGGTAACTACTTTTAGAGAAGCTACAGAGAAAAAGGCATTCCCATAACTGCCGGTGAGAGTATAAGGTGATACAATTTTTTAGGAGAAAGATTTGGCAACATTTGATCTAGAAATTCCTCTTCTAGGAATTTGTCCTACAGCAATATGCTCAAATGTGCAAAGACATACATATAATTATGTTTGCCTTGTCTGAGACAGAAAAAATTTGGACACAATTAATCAAAAGTGAGTTAAATACATCTCTATCTAATATAGTGCCATGTAGCTCTAGAGAAGAATAAAGTAGATTTATGTGGGCAATATGGAAAATGTCCAAGATTTATTATTAAGAAAACAAAGCGCCCTAACCGGTTTCGCTCAGCGGATAAAGCGTCAGCCTGCGGACTCAAGGGTCTCAGGTTCGATTCCGGTCAAGGACATGTACCTTGGTTGCAGGCACAACCCCAGTGGGGAGTGTGCAGGAGGCAGCTGATCGATGTTTCTCTCTCATCGATGTTTCTAACTCTCTATCCCTCTCCTTTCCTCTCTGTAAAAAATCAATAAAATATATTTTTAAAAAGAAAGAAAAGAAAACAAAGCAAGATAATATGAATAACATAAATCTGTTATAATAAAAATAATAAAAAATGATGTTTGCAGAAGCATTGAAAGAAATGTTTGAACATATGGGCACTAAACTGCTAACAGTGGTTCTTAGAGAATGGAATTACCCCAGCTTTTCACTTCCTGCTTTATAGATATCGACAGCATTTTACAGTTTTATAATAGTACACATTGTTTTGGTAACTAATAAAACATGATATAAAATTTAAAAACATGTTTGAATTTCTTCCTTTTAAAAGCTATAAATGCAGGTTTACATAAAGAATCAGGTTAGAATGGATTGTACAACATACTCCCCTTATCAATAAGAGAATATTCTTTCCAGTTAAGAACTATATGCTGAAGTTTTAAAAAGCTAATAATCTCCACCACTCAGACTGTAGGAAAGTATGTCATTATATGATGGTGAAACAACAAATGGTGTGAAAATATATGTAGAGTCCAACCTATAAGCTCTATACCCCCAGAAGGCCTCTGAATAAAGCAAAAGACACAAGGATCTGTGCATTATACTTTGTTTTTGCCTGCATTTATAATATGGCTTATCCATTCGTGTTAGACTAATTTCTAAATGTATTTATGTGTGATTAATAAGTACATTTCAAATTTTAAGTGGTATGAGAAGTTTTCTTCTACATTAAAGAAAATTGTCAAGCCCTAACCGATTTGGCTCAATGGATAGAGCGTCGGCCTGCGGACTGAAGGGTCCCAGGTTCGATTCCAGTCAAGGGCATGTACCAAATAGAAAGCCTTCCTTCCTCAGCTCCAGAGCAGCGCCTCCTCACTCCATGATCTGGTTCGATTCCGGTCAAGGGCATGTACCTTGGTTGTGGGCACATCCCCAGTGGGGGATGTGCAGGAGGCAGCTGATCGATGTTTCTCTCTCATTGATGTTTCTAACTCTCTATCCCTCTCCCTTCCTCTCTGTAAAAAATCAATAAAATATATTTTAAAAAAAAGAAAATTGTCAATATCCTCAGATGTTTAGATATGGGAGCAGTAAATCACTGTCTATAAATCAGGAACCTGTTCAACATTTAAAGAAATGTCAAGTGTGTATCTGAAGTAAAGTTTGCAAAGCACTCTGATCCATTTTCAGATAAGAAACAATAGAAAACATTGCTCCCTTGTATTTTTGGATTTGTCCATACTAGCTAGTTTTGTCTGCAGGAGCCTGGTAAGTAAATGTTAGTTAGAGAAATGTAAATTTACACTCAGTGTTACCTGCTGGACAGCTGCACCTGAGAGTTATGACTCATGACTTCTTCTTGGCCACCCCATTTGGTAACTAAAAAGTGAAAAATCAATTATATTTTGTTAGAAACTCTTTTAGGATTAAGATGTGATAAATGATTGTTTGCCATCAAGGGTACCCACCTTCTAGCAATAGTTACATTTTCCACTAATGACACTAAATGTGCTGTAGTGACAGCTGGGGTAAGACTTTGAGCTGCAATCCCCAAAACACATGACCCCCAAAGTCTACTTGCAGCCTCCTTACCTGTTCTCTCTCATCAACAATAGTTCTACCTGGGCTATTTTACTGTCCAAATAGAAAGCCTTCCTTCCTCAGCAGGCTGCAAATAACAGGCTCTCAAGTATTACAAACACTTAGTATTTGTTCTGCTGGGACCCACACAGACTAATTTCTTTCACCAGGTGAGGAATAATTTCACCATCTATTCTAGGCTAGATTTCAAACTTCCTAAATGTAAATCCATGCTAGTTTAGGGAGCCCTTTTAAATATTGTATCTAATATCAATCCTAATCTTTTTGGTTCCATTCTTCAAGAACAATAATCCTCTGGAGCCCAAAATTTGAATGAAAAATGACCATGGGACAGCACTTTTCCTTTACATATAACACCTTCCCCTTCGGTAAGATGGATGTGTACGTAAAGCAGATGATCTAACACTCTGTCCTGAGGTCCAGCCTTGGATTTCTAGAACACCATTGGAAGGAGCTACCTGCAGTTTACGTATGGTATCAATATCACAGCTGAAAATAGCTGCTCCAAAGTACATGTTTTGCTGACTATCTAATTTGGTATGGCATAATATGAATGACCTTTGACCACAAGATGGTGTCAGGATCATCCCTTCATCTCAAAACACATTTACTGAGACCATTCCAAGGAACCTACAGTCTTGTGGGGTAAGACTGGTCAGTATGCAGTTATAACATAGTGTGATAGTGTTTATAATAGAGGCATAAACTTACTTAACCTGGATAATTAGGAAAGGCTTCCTGGGAGAGGTGGCACTCAAGCCCAGTCTTGAAGGGTAAGCAGAAGGTAGCCAGTGAATGAATATTCAGGGAAAGGAAGCATCAGGTGCAAAGGCAGGGAGACATGAGAGTGCATGAACCATTCAGGAAATTGCAAGTTGACCATCTGACTAGCATAGAATGCCTGGCTGAATGGCAGAAGATGAAGCTGGAGAAGGAAGCAGGAAACAGATCCTAAAGCATTTTGTATGTTATATGATTTCTCCCTAGGCTGTAGTTGCCACTTGTCTCTGAAATAGTTGGAGAATAATTTTACTTACACACCTGCTATTATTATGTTTCCAAATCCTAATGTTGCTTTACTGCAAAACATAGTTCTACATGTTTTTACCAATTTTTTATTCATAACCATCTTGCTGATTACTGTAATAACAGCTACTATTTACTGAGTGTTTACTTGATGCCAGACACTGTACTAAATGCTTTAAGTAAATTATCTAATTAAGTCACAGCAAGAAAAAGCACAGCTTTGGAGTCGACCAGGGTTCAAACCTCAATTTTGCCATTACTACATGTGTAACCACAAACAAATTAGTCAACCTGAGTTTTAAGCTTTCTGATATATTAATTTGGAAAACCACCATCTCCTTCTTAAGTTGAGATATGCAAACCATTTAAACACATAGTATCCACTCAATCTATATATATAAAAGCCTATGTAACCAAATGACCAGTCACTATGATGCGCACTGACCACCAGGAGGCAGATGCTCAACGCACAGGATTGGGCTCCCTCCTGTCTGGATCGGGCCTGCAGGGATGGGGCCAAAACCGGCTATCTGACATCCCTTGAGTGGTCCCAGATTGTGAGAGGGTGCAGGCCAGGTGAGGGCCTCTAGTATAATTATAAATGCTATTACTGTGGTAGTATCACTTATACAAAAATATAAACAGTTGATATCTATAAAACCAGCAGAGGGAGCCTCTAATCCATTTCTGGCTTCAGGGCCAAGCTAAGTATACCAATCCATTGCTATCACTATCTCTGAAAACAAATAGAAAACAGGATAAAAAGTGATCTGATAGTGGTATCTAAATGAAAGGTAGGGTTGGGGAGTACATAGGTAGTTTCAGTAGTATCAGTACTGTTCTTAATAATTGAGTGTGAATTCATTGAGTGTGGATACATATATATAAGTAGTCATTTGCAAGTTAGGAATGTTTATTCTATTATGCTCTAAAACAGCGGTTCTCAACCTGTGGGTCGCGAACAATGAAAATACATCCTGCATATCAGATATTTACATTACGATTCATAACAGTAGCAAAATTACAGTTATGAAGTAGCAACGAAAATAATTTTATGGTTGGGGGTCACCACAACATGAGGAACTGTATTAAAGGGTTGCGGCATTAGGAAGATTGAGAACCACTGCTCTAAAACATATATATACATTACATTATATACTTTTGTATGTGTCAAATATTACATATTATACTTAAGTAATCTCAATTCTCATGTACCTACATCCCTCTATTTCTAGTTCCCATTTGAGAGCTGAAGACAAATTTACCATAATATTCCTTATGCTTTTATCCTACTTCCCTTAGGCCTTTCTCATAGGAAGTCAATACTGCCTTCTATTACAGTCATTTCCTATATTATATGCTAAGCTTCCTAAAAACAGGGTCAGGTTCTTATACATCTATATAGCTCTAACAGCAGTCAGCATAGTGTCTTAGGTTTACTTATTGTCACACCATCCTTTATTTTCTCTTTACAATTTGTGATATTAATGAAACCATATTTATGAAATGTTCTAATTCATTAAAAAATTGTAACCTATTAGGGGGACTGGTTAAATAAATTTTGATATATCCAGTAGTTTAAAAGAATGAAATGCATATAGTCATTTGCCAGTTATCAATACGTAAAAGGGCAAGGTAGAGAATAATGTATGATATATATTTTATACATCTGCTTCTCTATGCACAGAACATTTCTGTAAGATTACATAAGAAACTGGTAGCTGTGATTGCTTTTAGAGAAAGGGGTGTCTGGCATACAAGGGAGACTTATTTTTCACTGTATACCTTTTTGTACTATTTAAATTTTTTTGCGATGTGAATGTATGATTTTTTTCAACTAGAAGAACAGCTTAATAATTTACACTTTTAATAAGGAGAAGGTGCAAACACAAAATTCAAACTGGATCAGAATAAACAGCAGTTTCACAAAAGAATAAGCATCGTGAGACAGTATATGGTTAGTCACCATATAGCTAACAATAACTTTTAGCTCAAAAGACTGAAAAAAATCACTGTGGAGTGATGTGATCTGGAAAAGTTTCATAGTGTAATAAGGGGGCTTGGACCGAAATCTTGAAGGATGAGATTTAAATCTGCTGAGAGAGAAGGAGAAGGGATGAGGAGGAAAATGAGGTGGGCAAAGATCCCTGTGGCTGAAGCAAAGCTGTAGAGTGGGGCTAGGCAGCACAAGCCCTGGGTTTTAGACCAGGAAAGCTATAGGCTCCTGGGCAGGTCACTCTTACCATCCCCGTATCCATTTCTGGGTTCTTAAAACAAAGTGTAACTGATGATCCCTTGGGTTCCTTCCAACTCTTTAATAACATGACTACCTCCATAACTATAACTGTGAAGGAAAATGAGGGCATTCCTTGAATACTGTGGGACTCCTTGAATGCCAAGCAAAGGAATTTAATGGTTTGATCAGAGAAAGCCAGTAAACGTTTTTGGAAGGAGGTATAGGATTTAGGAAGACTGAATTATAATGAAGCATTTGTAAGCACCATGTTAAGTTTTGGCTAATATCATTATTAATTTGGCAGACTAGAGGAGAAAGAGCAAACTAACTGGGAGATTTACAATAACCAGATAAGCAAAAGATCAACCTGGACCGGAATTCAAATGGAGTAGTGAGTAAAATTCAGGTCTTGAGTTTGTTTGAATCCCTAGACATTCATTACTCTTAATACATCTGGCTCCAAGTTCTTGTTTACTACCTTTTTCTAGGGTCCTATTGGTTAATGTTTAGCATTTTGAACCTGGAAAGTATTTCTGCTTGAATTACACTGTCAGGCTTTGTAAAAGTTTATTCTATAGCATTGAACTCTCTAGGTAGCCAGTGCAGATTTATACATATTTAAAATACTACTGTATTTTATTAAAATAATTTTCTTAAAAATTATACAAATACCACATATCCATAATAACAAAATTAGAAAACACAGAAAAGTACACATTTTAAAAAGTTACTTCTATCCCAGACATAACAGCTGTTAATATTTGGCATCAAAGCATATAGGAAGCTTTAAAGAAAATACTTTTGAAGAAATATAAAACTTGACTAAGGAGTCTTGCCTAATTGTAAACTTACAGAAAGGTAAATATAAGTAGGATAACACATTTGAGGTATCTATTCACTAGACAGAGATGTTACAGAAAAGGCACCCAAATGTGGAACAAAACCCAACTAAGCTCCACAATTCTTGAGTCCCCAGTTATATCTGAATATCATGGCCACTAGTGATTTAGGTTATCAATATAACTAGTAAAAATGTACTTCTTACCTTTGTCTTCTCCCTGCTCACCAATAACCCACACTGGTTTTCCTGAAGTCTCTGCCTTTAAAACATTTGTAATAATATACTGTAACCTCTGTGAGTCCAGATTGCATCCAATTCCAATTACTCGATTTGCAGGAAATGCACTCAGTTTCCATGTCACATATGTCATGATCTCCACTAAATATTGCACACAAGGTAAAAATGTAAATATTTTAAAAAACATACTTCTAGCCTAGTTCATAAACAAATATTATTTTAATAAGTATATTAGAACTTGTATATATTCTTCTTAGGTCCTAAATGCACTAAAGGTATATTTCTAACGTATATTTTTAAAAAATCACCAGGTTTCAGCATGATTTAACATAACTTTGTTGCTAAATATAAAGCGGAGAATAATCTCCTAGAATAGTTAAGCAAGAAGGATAAAAACCGGGTACAGAAAACCAGAAGATAATTTTTTTTCATTGATCAAGTTATCTTTATATCTATCTTAAGCTGAGTTTCTATCTTTAAATTAAAATACTGATTCATATACCACCACTATGTGATATAGGATTATGAACAAAAACACTACTACTTTTTTCCTAATGTGCCAAAAGGATGTCAAGAATTAAAGAGACCAGAGTTCCTCAATTACTATAAGAAAAACAAGTGAAATGCATGCCATACTCCTACATGGGGAACCTGTAAAAAAATCTGTTCACCAACTTGAGGCCAGTACCACACCTAACTCTTTAAAAATATTTCTTTCTTAAGTAAAACAGTTTCAAATAATTTAAATTCAAAATGTTAAAAATGTACTCTGGCATGCTCACTAACATTGTATGACACTTCAGAATTAGAAAAAGCTCTTTCACATAGCCACTGCATTTTTCTCTTGGGAGTTTAACCATTTTCTCACTGAAAAGCATGGCTAACAACCTGGAACATAATAATAGTATAATATAAAAATGATAATTTGTAACCTTCTAGTTAATGCTAGTCATAAGAAGTCACTGTATGACAGGATATAGAAATACTGTATTGTTCATTATAAGAGCAATTTAATTGACTAGTCATCCTTTTATAATCCAGTTTTATGACTTTTATCAGTAATAGCAATTCTACTGATGCACTGGATCATCAAATTCATTTAAAATAAAACCTATTACCTGGTTGAGATGCAACAAGCAGGACACTGTGTTGACTATAATGTCCCAGAGCTGGGACAAGGGCTCTGAACATATCCACATTTCTCTGCACCACATCAAGGTAGGACTGAGAACTACCCAAAGAGTTAACGGTAAAGATGACCACTTTGGAATGAGCAGAGGCAGACAAATCTAATGAATAAAAAGAAACAGTCTGAGCTCAAGGTGTATGTTTTAATCAAGTTTGTGTTCATAAAGAAGATTTTTCTTCTCTCCAAGTAGAGACCTTTACTGCACACCTACCTCCAGATCAATCTTATCTCAATAGGAAGTATACAAAGTGCTGAAGTTTGCCACCAGAAAGAGGATTAAGAGCAACAGTGTATTCCAAGGGGGGAAAGAGAGCAATAAAGATAAACCAAACAAATTACAGGATCCAGAACCCACAAAAAAGGAATTAGTTTTTATTTAATCCATCATTTTATTAGGGAAAATAAATATGTTAAAGGCAAAATAAACTTAAAATCAATTACATCACTCATTTTAAACTTTTAGCTTAAGTGTCCTAAAGTTCCTTAAAAGTGATTCAGGGGCCATCTGGGAGGACTGGGAATAAGTGAAAAGAAGGCTGGTAGGCATGGCTCCAGGCCATTTATTTCAACTTCTCCAACAGAGTAGTTCTGCTGTATCTATTTTATTTATTAAGGAAGGATTCTACTCCAAAGAGGGGATAAAAATGGTTTGAAAATCTTTAAATGAAGATAAAATGTCTCGGCTCATTTTTTACTGACTTCTTCTTATACTGAATGAAGCCCAGAATCGTTGGGTTTAGATTCTTCTTTCAATGGAACTTAATGCATAAGCAACTGTTATGACGTAGGAAAAGCTATTCTCTGGAGTTCACTGCTGCCCAACTGGAGTGGTTCAGTTTTGAGCATTGTCCCATGCACCAAAAGGTTGCTGGTTCAATTCTAGTCAGGGCACATACCTGGGTTGTGGGTTCAATCCTCCTCGGTCAGGGCACATATGGAAGGCAGCTGATTGATGTTTCTCTCTTTCTCTCTCTCTCCCTCTCTCTCCTTTCCTTCTTTTCTTTCTCTCTCTAAGCATGTTCTCAAATGAGATTAAAAAAAAACAACCACTGGTTTTGGAGTTCACTACTATGATCCTCAAACATACACATGCTATTTTACAACATTACTTTCTGTTACACAGTGTGTTTTAGAGTAAGTACATGCCAAAACAGTGGCCAGACATTAGCAACATCAGGTACAACAGAAAAATAATGAAGCAACTAAAATGGTATCAGTTTAATCAACCTTTGTAAATGAATACTGGCATCCCAGGGAGACAATGAGTAGATGCCAGGGTTTAGTCTTAATGAAGCCTCTAAGGCCATCTTTCTACACAAGTTTATGTGCAATGTGTCCACTGGGAAATGCACTACCCAATTTTAGTTCATTATCTAATGCAACTGTGGGGATAGTAGCTCCAAAAACTGACTCGTGGATTTTAATTATGGTTCTTCATAAACTAAAATTAATTCCTGTGTTTTAGTGTTCAAAATAGGTATCTGGTGATCAGTCAAAATCGCAAGAATTAGAAGACGGTAGAACCGGATGGGATATAGTTAACATTCCCTACCACTTTCGTGTGTCAGGTATTGTTCTAAGAGCTTTCCCTATATTTACTCATTTACTCTAAGCTACAAGACACTATGGAGTTAATATGATCCCCATTTGACAGATTTGAGGCACAGAGAAGTTAAATAACTTGTTCAAAGTCATAGAACTAGTAAGTAGCAGAGCCAGAATTTAAGCCCAGGCAGTCTGGCTACAGAGTGCTGTTTAGCACTGTGCTATATTTACAGATTTAGTCCTATACCCTCATAAAGATGAGGAAATTGATACCTGGAAAGATTAGGTGGCTTGTCAGTATTATTAAATATCAGTGAATAGTTCAACTTATGATCCTATAATTTGGCATCAGCCTACCTTGCCAGGAACATTTCTTTTCTTTTCCCCCTTTAGCTTCCTCTACTTTGAATGATAAAAATGCCCCACACTCAAGCTGATCATTAGTGAACAGAGTAGAAGCTGTCTAATATTTCAAAAGTGCAAGAAAGGCTTCCTACTCCATATGTCAAGCTTCCAAGCATCTGTAATTTTAAAAAGCACCTCAGGTGATTTGGACACAAGTTATCAATCCATAAACCATGTTTTAGGAATCAATGGCTATTGAGTAAATTTTACTTTGCTAAGTTTTAGAACTATTGAACACTTTTTTCTCCATGCACACACATGCTTATACCTCTACACACAAATATTTATGCTTGTATATGCAGAGACTATTCCTGGAGTAAATAAGAAATTGGTAATAAACATATGTTTGAAACCCAAGCTAAGCCCCTTACTGTGTGACCAAAGCCACAATCTCTCTGAATCATTTATAAAATAAAGTAAGAGGAGTAAGAAACTATAAATATATATAAAATATCAACATATGTTATTGATTCCCTAAAATAATGGCAGTGAAATAAGCATAATAGTGTCTTCAGTCAGAAAATGACATGATTAAAATAATACCATAGGAGAATTACTCCATTAGCTGTGTTTAACAATGAATAAAAGTAAATGAGAGAATGGAAACAGGAACCCTCATACACAGCTAGTGAGAGTATAAATAGGTACCAACTTAAAAAAAAATTTTTTTTTAAACGCATCCCTTTTGACCCAGTAATTCTACTTTATCGCACTAGTTAGAGAAGTGCACAAAGATTTTTGCATTACAATGTTCTCTGAAGCATTATTTGTAATCATAAAAATACAAACAACATGACCTGGCCGGTGTTCTCAGTGGTTAGAGCATCAGCCCATGCACTGAAGGGTCTTGGGCTGGATTCCTGGTCATGGGCACGTACCTGAGTTGCAGGTTTGATCCCCGGGCTAATTGGGGTGCATGTGGGAGGCAACCAATCAAGGTGTCTCTCTCACATCAATGTTTCTCCCCACCCTCATCTTTCCCTCCCTTCCACTCTCTCTAAAAAAAAAAAAATCAATGAAAAAAAATATCCTCAGGTGAGGATTAACAAAAATAAAATAAAATATCCATATGGAGCAAAGTAACAACTCTAAGATGATCAGTCAATTGCAATCATCAGTGATGGTTATGACGGGAACATTACTAAAATTTCCAAATGAGTTTAATTTCCCAAAATTATTAATGCACTTTTTCATAACATAGAATATATTTATGAAATGTTAGTTAACATTGTATTTTAAATTACTTCATGTCATAATAATTAAATATTATCAGGAATGTGCAACCAAAATTAACATGGGCAACATGAAACTTGCCCCAAGATAGTGTATACTCATTCAAAATTTCCTATTTGGTGGCAAGCACCATGCTCTATATATCTATTCCAAGGATTCTATACTTTCAATGATCTAAAACAATAGTTATTGATGGTTAATGAGATACATAGGAAGAAATAATTTCCTCATGTCTTAAGTGGCCTCACAACTTCTAGGGCCCATGTACTAACAGTTCCCTAAAGTACTTTGGAAGAGTTAAGATGTCCCTTAAGAACTTCAGTACCTAGAAATGACAGGCACAAGAGAATATCCAGCTCCCCCAGGAATCCTCTTTATGAGGCCTACAAAAGGATCATTAAAGCAACTATTCTACTCTTTCTAGAAAAGGAAAATTAACTCACTGTGTCCTATAGGGATCTAGAGGCTTGCTAGAATTGTTACACCAATTTTTATAACCTAAAGGTATTATATCAACTTTTCTGACCCACTGTTGTTCTTAGTACATTTAAGCTTGTGAAACCATTATGTCTCAACATTTTATTTGGAAAACATGGTCAAGGAATACAAGGGACCCAAGTAAGGAAAGGGAAAGGAAAGCCAAACAACTACAACATGTTACAACCTGACTTTTGCTATAACCTAAATTTGGAAGGTTGGAGTAAACAATTTTTAATTCAATGGTCTTCCAATTTTTTTGATCATGCATCCCTGATGATGATGATGATGATAATAATAATAATAATAATAATAATATATATACATATATATTTTTTTATTTTGTTGTTGTTAATCCTCACCTGAGGATATTTTTCCATTGAGTTTTAGAGAGAGTGGAGGGAGGAAGTGAGACAGAGAGAGAGAAACATCTATATAAGAGAGAAACATCAATTGGTTGCCCCCCACATGGGCCCTGACCAGGGCCGGGGATCGAGCCTGCAACTGAGGTACATGTCCTTGACTGGAATCAAACCTGGGACCCTTCAGTCTGAGGGTTGATGTTCTATCCACTGAGCCAAACCAGCTAGGGCTAAAATATTTTTAAGTTCACATCCTCAAATAAAGCATTTACCTACAGATATATGTCTGCACTAATATATTACACACATTATAAAGTACATGCAAAATTTTCACATTAAAAATATAAGATAAAATTATTTTTAACGTTAAATTTTTATCTATTGCTACAAAACCCTTTTTGTTGTTATTAAAACTTATTTTAACAGTGTATTTTTAGGGAAAGCAATGTTAACTAAATTTTTAGAAAGAATATTGGTTTAGCACTTTTGCTATATACCAAGAAGTATGTATTATTCCCACTTTAGAGATGATAAAACTGAACTTTGAGATTATATAATCTGACAAGAGTCAGAGCTATAATGTGGCAGAATTAGGATGCAAACTCCATCTTTCCAACTCTAAGACCAGTATTCTTAACCAATATTTCATACTAAAGTGAGACACATAGAAAGAAACAGTTTCCTCATATCCTAAATGGCCTTACAACCTCCAGGGTCCATGCACTAAACAGTGTCCTAAAGTGATTTGAAAGAGAAAGAGAATAAATCCCTCCACTGAGCCAAACCGGTTTCGGCTTATCTGGCTCTTATTAATATAATCAGTTGCAGTCCCTGTATGACTCTGAGTAAATCACTTAACTTATTTGAACCTTAGTTTCCAAATATGTAAATTGAGGGATTTGGACTAGGTGATCTTTAAAGTACCTTCAGTATTAAAATTCTAGTACTCTGGGCAGAGCACAGAGGATTTTTAGGCAGTGAAACAACTCTCTATGATACAATAATGGTGGATACATGTCATTATAGATTTGTCCACATCCATAGAATGTACAATGCCGAGAGTGAATCCTAATGTAAACTATGGATTTTGAATGATAATAATGTTCCAGGTAGGTTTATCAACTGTATCACTAGGTAGGAGATGTTGACAATGGGGGAAGCTATGCATGTGTGGGAGCAGGGGGTGTATATGGGAAAATTCTGTATCCTCTGCTCAATAATGCTCTGAACCTAAAACAGCTGTAAAAAATACAATTTATTTAAAAATTCCAGGACTTAAATACAAGAGCAAATGAGGCATACATCTGTTAAGCAGAGAAACCACACCTTTGCTGATCTCCACATTAGGCAGGTTGAAGATCTCAAGGTCCATCATCCCTCCTTTAGTCTCTTCTGAGAGGTCTAAGAGGACAAGTCTGTCTGCAATGCCCTGTACAGTACAATAAAAAAAGAAGAGCATTACACGGGGCATGTCCGGTTACTCAGTTTAAATTCATTCAGAAGTGAGGGCTAAGGGAGAATGCAGAGGCGTCATATGCTGTCTTAGGAATCAAAAGTAACACAATAATAATGAAAGGGACATGCAAGCAAGAAATTATTATGAATACTGTGATCCTTTAGGCTTGACTGGAAACCAAGGTGATGGCATATGCTGGAAGCAAGATCTCAAATGCTCTCTCTAATCTTTAAAATATCCTTATATTTTTACATATTGTATCATTATCCTACATGTACTAATAAACTTATAGGGTAATTTATATAAATGAGATTGATGGATTAAAGGAGTTATTGTGTTTTTTATTGTCATTTATTACTATAACATCCTAAAAGTCTGATTACCTTTGTGGAAGGTCTTTTTCCAAAATAGTAAGGGATTCAAGGCTCTCTCCTATCTTAGAGTGCAGGGGCAAGAGTCCCCAGGGATCTACCTGACTACTGGGAAGGAAGTGTGGAAGTTAAGAAAACAACCCAGCTGTACTACCTATTCGCTCTGTAATGCTGGGAAAGTCACTGAACTTGGCCTTACTTCATGCTGGCAGAGAGCAGTCCCCTCTAAATTGTACCGATTAATTTTATTATTGTTAACCACTTGTAAGAGAAATGCAAAGAAAGCTGAGTTACCTTTTTTTAATTTATCATACATGCTAAGATCCAAAAGTTTAACAACTGTAAAACAGGTATTTTCATACAAGGTGGGTATGAGAATAAACTGGTATAGTTGACATGGGAGATAATTTGACAATTTCTATCAAAATTGAAAAACACAATAACTCCTTTAATCCATCAATCTCATTTATATAAATTAGCCTATAAGTTTATTAGTACATGTAGGATAATGATACAATATGTAAAAATATAAGGATATTCTAAAGACTAGAGAGAGCATTTGAGATCTTGCCTCCAGCATATGTCATCACCTTGGCTCAAATAAACTCATTAAAAAAAAAAAGTCTAGAAACAACTTAAGTGTCCATCAATAACAATAATAACAACAAAACAGTTTAACATAGTGGTTTGGAGCAGAGCTTCTCAAGCTTTAAGAGATCACATTTAATAGATCAGGGAAGCACATGGGATTTTGTTAAAATGCAGATTTCTACCGTAGGTCTGGAGTGGGGCCTGAGATTATGCATTTCTAATAAGATCTCAGGTGATGTCAATGCTGCTGGTCTAAAAGCCACATCTGAGTAGTAAGGTTTTAAAATATAGGTTCTATAAATAGACTGCCTAGCTTCAAATCCTCCCTCCATTTACTAACAGTGTGACTTTGGCAAGTTGGTAACCTTCCTATGCCCTGGTTTCTTCATTTGTAAAAATGGCAGTAATGATGGTATCTAAGCCATAGAGTTGCTGTAAAAATGAGTCAAGTGTTTAAAATGAGTGAAGTGCTGGCACCTACTTAAGCATTCAGTAAAGGTTAGTTATTGCTGCTACCACCACTGCTACATACTACTGTCACTATTATGGCTACTATTGTACTATTTGAATATTGTTATCCTGTATCAAAATACTAATGTTCAAAAAGAAAAATGGAAAAAAATTTCCATCTAGACAGCTCACAAAGAAATACTGACAGTGAGACTCTGCTAACAACTAAAGAAACATGACTTTAAGAGGCCTTCCTGTACTTAACAAAAACAAAGAAAACTGATAAAACTCAGTAGTTAGGAATGGCAAAAATCTGGTTGATATGCACGTTTTTATTAGCAGCATAAATTTGTATTGCCTTTCTGAAGAACAATCCTGCAATATGTAATAAGTGCCATAAAAACCATTCATGTCCTCTGACTCACTAGTACGATTTTATACACACCTAAAAAAAATTCAGATGAGAAAATAAGCAACTTGTAAAGCAATGTTTACAGAAGCATTCTATTCAGTAACAAAAGAAGTGAAAAAAATTCCAATTCCAATTAAGAGGGAACAGTATATTCTGATGGAGGACGGAGGAAATAAAACTATAATGTGTCAAAAGTTAGCATATATTGTTCTGAGCAGCCAGCTTTAAAATTTTCTAGCTCCCTAGATACAACGTAATCATTTGCTGAAGTAGACCCTACCTCCAAGACATATGTGATTCTTAAATGGAAGAAATTAGATAGCAAATAATCAAATTTTAATAGAATAGAAAACCAAATGCCAACTACCAAATAAGTATATGAAGGGACAGCTAGTCTATCCTGAGCTATATCCCTCACATGACACAGACATGCTGTTACCATGATTCTGGGCCCTGGAGGGTCTTTTGAACTACTCTGGAAAAGGATTGAAATGCCTTTCTGAAAATAATTTATATGGAAACAATTTAGTAAAAAGGACTGATAAAAATAAATTTCAAACTATCAACTCAGGAACTACGATCATAGAAGAAAGCAGAGTAATTACACAAAAAAGGCAACTGTAAAAAATATTCTAATTTTAGAAAAAGCTAAAATTAATTTATTAAATAAGAGTTTAATCAAAACAAAAGAATTTGTGATCAAGTTAGATGAATGTCAAATTGAGGTTTCCCTTGAATGAGGTTGATGACCCCATTATTCAAACCTCGTTTTCAAAGCCTATTCCATGACTAACTGCTAATTAAGAGGCAACATCCCTAATGAGTTTTTAGCCATTTTTTTGTCAACTAAATATATTTTAAGGCAAAATGAGTTTATTCCACATGAAAAAATTAAACATAAACTACCTAAAAGCATATCAATATGATATATATATTTATAACTACTACTAGAGGCCCAGTACACAAAATTCATGCATGGGTACAGTCCCTAGGCCTGGCCTGGGATCAGAGCCATCTTCCCAGGCTGCCTGCAGCTGGCCCTGCCCCCCGCCACCACCCACCCACAGTTCCCCATTCGCCATCAGGTGATTGGAGCCTGACAGCTGGGGGAAGGGACCGAAGTTGGCCGTTCCCGCCTGCTCGCCAGCCCCGCCCCAGCCGTGGGTTGCCCTGTGTGTGTGGGGCGACTGGTGGGGCGGGGGCCATGGCCTGGCACCACCCATGTCCCCTGCCACCCACCCCCAGCTTCCCATTCACCATTGGGCGATCGGAGCCAGCTGGCCAGGAAAGGGACCGAGAGGTGGTCAGTGTGCCTCATAGTGACTGGTCAAGCAGTCATTCTGGTCATTCTGCCATTAGGGTCAATTTGCATATTACCCTTTTCTTATAAAAGATACTAACATACCTTTGCTGAAATTGCTAATGTGCAGGCAACTCCCAGTTCTCCACCTCCAACCACAGTAATTTTCTTTACTGTTTTATTCTCATGATTTGCCCAGTTCTTTGAATTTATGTCTGAGATACCTAGAAAGAAAAGTGAATGATCATGATAATTTAAAAATAATATCAAAAACCTTTTTAACATCTTTCAAAAAAATACACCAAGCTTCAATAACTTAGGACAGAAAGCATGGTGCTAGCCCATAATAGGCACTCAAAAACACCTGTCAAACAAATGGTATACTAGAAAGCTAGGAATCTCTTATTAAATATTCCACTAAATAAAGACAACCCTTTTAAAAAGAAAATATCTTTCCAAACATTTAAAAAATATTAAATAAGACTAAAAACAGGATTTCCATAATTCTGGAAAATATTCTGATTCTTACTGCTGTGGTTTAAAATGCAAAGATATTTAACACCTCACAAAATTTTGCAAGTATGGGTATTTTACTTTATACTCAGTGAGAATCACAGATTTTCTGGTCCAATATATTGAAATGAGGCAAAAAGATACATAAAAATATAATGGAAAAGTTTGGGGATCATTAATACAGGGGTCAGCAAACATAGGTTTATAGTTTTGAGTACGTGAAACACAGAGTTTTCCCTGTAATATTTATTTGTATTCTTTTTATTGTTATTGTTGTTATTATTACTTTGTATCCATATTTACGATGTATCTTTTAGGTAATAATGGCTGGCAATTTAACCTACTTTTGCCCAGCCCTGTATATTCAAGTGGTTTTATACAAAATACAAACTATTTTATTTATCAGTGTAAGGGTAATCTTTTATATATATTTTAAAACTCCTCACCTAAGGATAGAGAGAGAGAGAGAGAGAGAGAGAGAGAGAGAGAGAGAGAGAGAAACATCAATAAAAACCATGACCATTCAGTTTACAGGACAACACGCCAACCAACTGAGCCACACTGGCCAGGGCTAATCTTTTACATTTTAAGAAAGCATATTCCTTAGAACTGTATAGTTAGGTAATTGGAACTATAGTAGGTAATACTTACCCTATGATATACGTACAAGAATTTTTAATTCAATACAGATTTGTGTGTGTATATATGCGTGTGTATATATGTACATATGCATGTATTTATTTATAAAGTAGCAGAGAGTAAAGGCTATCAGTGAGAAATTATAAACTTATAACCCTCTGAATAATAAAAATACAAACCTTCAGTGATTTTTGCAATATAGGCTAGCAAGTCCACCTGCCGTGCCTCATCAGATGATGATAGAGAATACAGGGGAAGTTCCTCTTGAAACTTGGCAATCATTTCTTTAATTAATCCTACAACAACAGATTTAGGCTGCAGAATATACACAAAGGGAAGAGTTATGCAAAAATTTTGCTAACGAGTACTATCTTGTTAATCTATACATTGTTATAGTCAGCCAAAACAAACTATTGTATTATGTTCTCATTTTTGAACCCTACCATAGAAATTATACCTTCAACTGTTTCATTACTTTTACCTTCAATTGTTTCAATACTTTTCACTGAAAAAGTACTTAATTCTTTTAACTGAAAAATGAAGGGAGAAATGCTAAATCCACATATCCAAAATATAGGGTATAACATGAATGTGCTTATGAGCAGCGTATGTTTGGGAGCAGTCTGTCTTTGTTTAAATTTTTACTTTGAAACAATTGCAAACCAAGAAAAATTGCAAAAATAGTAAAAGAATTTCCATGTACTTTTCACCCAGATCACTAAAATTATATCGCATTTGCTTTCTTGATCTCTTTCCCTCTTTTTATTTTTCTGAATCAATTGAGAGTAAACTGCAGATATGATACCTCTTCATCCTAAATACTGAGGAATAGAGTAAAGAGATAAAATGGAGTCAGTGTAGTCAAGCTGCTAAATCACTAAAATCAAGTAAGTTGAAGCATGAGGAAATTATTCTATTCTTGTTTTAATGAGCCTGGAAACCTAAACTTTTGAACTTTCCAGTCCTGTGTCAAAGCCTGGATATATATCAAAGCTCCAGGTAACTCTCTCATTACCCTCTAAAAGACTAAGGAAAGAATGGTTATGTATCCAGATAACATTTAAATGCTCAGTTAAAACAAAGCACATAACAGATTATCTGATTTAATATACCAAAGGTCAAAAACAGGCAAAACTACAAATAAATATGTATATTACATAAGACTCTTCAATAGAGAGGGACTAGGAAATAATGCCCAATACTTGCTAGTAACTTTACATGTGCTTTATCAAGCAGTAAACAACTATAAAAAGACTAGAGGCCCGGTGCACAAAAATCATGCACTTGGGGGCTGGGGAGTTCCCTCAGCCCGGCCTGTGCCCTCTCGCAGTCCAGGAGCCCTGGGGGGATGTCCAATTGACGGCTTAGGCCTACTCCCCATGGAGAGCGGGCTTAAGCCAGCAGTTGGACATCCTTAATGCCCCACGAGGCGGGAGAGGCTCCCCCCACGCTGCTGTGCTCGCCAGCCATGAGCCTGGTTCAGGGCTTCTGGCTGAGCGGCGCTCCCCATGTGGGAGCGCACTGACCACAAGGGGGCAGCTCCTGTGTTAAGTGTCTGCCCCCTGGTGGTCAGTACGTGTCATAGCGACGTGTCATAGCTCTTAGACTCGAAGAGAGCAGCTTCAGGCAGGCTGCTGTCATCAGGGTTCTGGGACTCAGGTATCCCTGGGAGCTCAATTTCAAATTACTCTTAATGACCATATGAAAAATATCATTGAAAGAAAATTCAGTAACTTATTTGTTACTTTTATTCACTAAGATCGAAGATAAATACTCAGAAAAATAAGAACTATTCAAAGAAAATCCAAATTGATCTTACATGGCTCCAGTTTTGGAGGTAGGGCAAGTATATTCTGCCTTGAGCATCCACATGTTTTCCAACTGAGATTCCCATATTTGCAGTTGGCTTTAAGAAGCAAATGGGGGGAGCAAAAGGGTGAGAATCCAAAATCCACAAACGAATTGGTATGTTATATGTATTACCTATTTGAGACAAAATAAACATACTTCAAACAATAAGGCATGCACACTATGTATGGTATAGCTAGGTGGCATTTTAAGATGTGTAGTCAAGTTTATATATAAAGGACTTATGTGAATTGAGGCCTATTTTTCCCATTTCATCTACATTAATATTGGAAATATATTCCCATTAAATCACCAGCATAATATTTGAGGAAATTTAATTAAGACATCCAACTCAATTCAATAAATATATAAAGGACCTACTGTGTCAGGAGTTTGAGATACACAATCTTCTATATGTAATCTTCTTCACTCTACCCGAGCAGAGCTATAGTACCTATCTTGATTGGTAGTGGACACGTATTTTTATACTTCTGCACTGAAGTTAGTTGCTTACAGTTCTGTTTCTCACTTTACACTATAAACTTCTTCCTAAGAGAGGATTATGTATTATTCATTTCTATAACCCCTGCACTAAAGATAGTGCCTAACGTACTGGCTGCTCAATACAAGTCTCTTATATAATTAAGAATGACTGAATTAATAAATAAATGAATGAGTAAAGTTGAATTTGATATTGGCCCTCAAGTTGCTCACTAATTGCAGGTACTATAACATACCAGCTAGTTTTGATACATAGAACTTAGAGCTGAAAATAACCTTAATAGTCACCTTGTCCAGTGGTTCTTAAATTTTAGTGTACTGAGAAAGGAAGTTGCACATATATTCTTCCAGTTGTAATCATGTATGTCATGCCTACCGAGAGGCAAAATCTGACTGCCTTGGTTGTCAGGAAGCCCAAAGCGAAACCTAATGTAAGTATAAAAATAAAACTTCAACTAGAAATCTCATCAATTACCTTGGCTGTTTTATTTTATCTCCTGATATTTATTCCTGCTTTCATAGCCTTATTGCATATGTCTTTCGCTGTACTTAAGAACATGGATGCTCAGAAGCAAGAATGCATAGGTTTCACTCATTACTAGCTGCATGATTTTAGGCAACTTAACTTCTGTGTGTCAATTCCTTGTTCTATAAAATGTGAAAATAGCTCCTACATCATAGGGTTATTGTGAGGATAAAATTAATTAATGTATGTAAAATGCTTAAAACAGTATATGATATGGTAAGTACCATGACGGGTTGGCAGGGTTTGCATTTTGAAAATAGGTCCATTATAAGTAAAAATATTTTCTTTTCCACTGCAACCTTTTCTTACTAAGGACATCCTCCTTCCACTAAAAGTTACTTTTTTCATCTTGCTTACTGCTCCCCTAAGCACAATGATACCCAGAGGTGTCTGCAAATTAGAAACACTTAAGGAACTTCAAAACATACCAATATCCAGGCCACTCTCCTAAAGTTTCTGATTCAATGGAATGGGGACTGGATGTCATTTTTAAAAAGATTCCCATGTAATTCTGATGTTCAGCTAGGACTGAAAATTAGTACATTATAGAAATGTCCTAATACCTGGTCTACTATTTCATATTAGCAGTTCCCAGAACCATACTCCTCTTCTACTTTTGTCTAACTATTTAAAAAATGTTTTTATTGAGGTATGTCACCACAATAAGTCTAGTTAACATCTGTCACCATATATAGTGCCTAAGTATTTACAATACAGGTATAGAGAGAAGTAGCTATTGGTCTGTAGATAACTCTGTGATTATAAAGTCATGTGATCATAGCACCACAAAGTAACCATTTATATTGGCTCATTTGATAATGAGAAAGATAATACATTCTGACCTTCTGATCAGCAAGAAGTAACTAGTGTGCATCACGCTGAGTTAATATAATTCTAGTCAAAAGCAAAGGGGAAAAAAGGTACTTCCAATGAAAAGGTATTGCAGGTACCATTACTACCTTGAAAGGCCCAGCCAGCATAATAATCAATGACATAACTCCATGGCACTAGGAGAGTCAGAGTGCCAATGAGGGGCATCTTACCAATGGCAGTAAGATACTGTTATGCCCTCCTGTTATCTCCCACATTGTCTTAGAAACTGAAATGCTACTAAGCAATGATTTATTTAAATTCACAAGCTCCTCCATTAATATGCAAATACCTTGAAATTATTGGGATGGTAAGAATTGTGAACTCAATCAATCAACCAGTCCTTGGGGTGGGTAGGAATTCCTTATCTCTCTTTCTAACATCTAACCATAAGAAATGCAGAACAGGTCCGAATATTATGGCACTAAACAAATTTAAGTTCTTATTGAACTGCTCATTTAGAAAATTCCCACAATTTCTCAACATCCACACTTACCCTGATACATCACAGGAACAGTACCAGTGAAATTCAGCAAGTCTTTCTGGGAACTATCTTTGAAAACTGAAAGCGAAAAAAAAAGCCTCAAAATGTGCAATCAGAAGTAGGAAGAGGAATCAAGTCGACTCAATGGCAGGTAACGCACATATGCACATACACATGTACAGAAAACATAATTTCTAAATACCATTGTCTAGGAATCAATAAAAATGTTGACAAAGGAAAATTACTACATTTTTTTTTTCTTAGAAAGCAGAGCAGGAGGGTGAGTAAAAACAGGACTTTGATACTGAAATCCCAAGTTCTAGGCCCACCTTCCCCACTTAAAGGCATGTGACTTTTGGTTATTCAGTTTGATCATCCATAAAATAAAGATAATAAGACTGCATCATAAAGTTGTTATAAGGGTCTAATGATATAATGTAAAAAGAAGTAAAGGATTATAAAATGTGAGGACACTATTAAATAATTGTCACATGTAACAAAGCAGTTACAATCACTTTCAGAAATCAGGTTATAAGTTTTAGAATAAGAAAAAAAATGTTAGCTTTATTTTTGAAAGTGACCTTTTAGAAAGATCAGTAATTATTTTCTTTGGTTCTCTAATTACATTATTCTCAACCTTTATTCAATCTTCACATCCCTGAAATTTCATCAATGACTAGGACACACTGATGGAGAATGAATGCCCTAATCTCTGAACTAAATATAGAAAAGACTACCGTTGGCTTCAAACTATCATACTGCCTTGGAATGTAGTCCTTTTAGTACCTTGGTAACTATACTATACTTGTTTTTAAATGGAATGGAATAAATAGAAGAAAAAATGCCAAAGAGTCCACAGTATTTTAGCTATGTGTATATGGGTTCATGACATGAAATGTATTTCCAAGTGTAGGCTGTGGTCAGAATTTTTGAAAGATAGTAAATCAAAATCTTTCTTAGGTAGCCAGACTCTCTGTATTAAGTGAACAAGATAACTAAAACTTCAACCATGTATGTGGTAAGCAGAATAATGACCTCCAAAGATATTTAATACCCTAATCCCGGGACCTCTAAATATGCTAATCTTACTTGGCAAATAGAGGTTTTAGATGTAAGTAAGGACCTGAGGTGGGAAATTATCCCGTGCTATTGGAATGGACCTAATCGAATCACACTGGTCCTTAAAAGTAGAGGACCTTTCCTAGCTGTGGGTAGAGGGAGATCGGACTACAGAGGATGGTGAGAGAGATGCAACATTGCTAGCTTTGAAGATGGAGGAAGGAGACCTGGAGCCAAAGAATGAGGATGACTTTAAGAAACTGAAAAAGGCAAGGAAATGGATTCTCTCCCAGAGCCTCCAAAAGGAACTGAGAACTGCCAACACTTTGATTTTAGTCCACACTTTCCATCTACAGTGACCTGTGCTGGACTTGTGGCCTACAGAATTGTAAGACAGTAAATATGTGTTGTTTTAAGTCATTAAATTTGTGCTAATTTGTATGGCAGCAATAGAAAATTAATACAATATAAAATGTATTAATTTAAATTTCTTCAGAAATCACAGGTCACAAAGTGTAGTTCAAAATCAGGGGATAAAAGAGAGAAATTATAATTTTGTAGCTCACTAGGAACAAATAATAGTTTAACAAATAATGTAGCAAAAACTAGAGAATACAATTCTTACCATAGGTGTCCATGGAATATCTGAAATGTGGGAAAAACATATTTACATGCTTTAGTTCTTCCACAGTTAGATCCCTGAACTTGTACTGAAAAGAGAAAAATGAGCATGGAATAAGAATAAATCTATAGATGACAGAACCATTACAATCAACATTTAACTGAACACTGACTGTGTACAAGGCTCTGAGTTTTACAAACGTGAGTAGTAATAACAACCCTATAAAGATGAACATGAAAGCTAGAGAATACAAATAACCTGCTGAGTTAGTAAATTAAGTAGGGAAGCCAGAGATGAAACCTAGGACCCGGGCCTTTAATCACTAAATCAAACTGCCTCCAAATACCTGCTGAAAGGCTTAAGAAGTAGGGTAGGTGTATCTATCACTCCTGTCACCACTGTTCAAGATCCACTCTTATTTTTGAATACCTCATTCATTCATTCACTTGACACACCTTGAATTTCCCTTCCAACCCTCCTGGTACTGCATCTTGGGTTTCAAAGGGAGAACAGAAAAAAAAAAAAGCATGCATAGGTTTGCAGTCAGGCTGAGTGAACTGTCTCCTCATTCATCCAGATGCACTCCCAAAAAACGTGACCTTGGTTGCCCTGTGGGCAAAATCATTTAATTTCTTTGAATTTTTCTTATTTGCAAAGAGAAATAATACCTATCTTGTAGACTTGTGCTGAGGATTAAATAAAAGAAAAAGAAGTATGTTAAGAGTCTATTACCATTCTAAAAATGATTTTGAGGAATCATTTACAACAATCCAAATGTCTATCAATTGATGAATGGATAAAATGTAATATATCCATAACACGGAATATTCAGTCATAAAAATAAAAGAACTGCTACAGCCTGGCCGGCGGAACCAGGGGCTCACGGTTTCATTCCTGGCCAGAGCATATGCCAGGGGTGTGGGCTTGATCCTCAGTGGGGGGCGTGCAGAAGGCAGTTGATCAATGATTCTCTCTCATTGATGTTTCTCTCTCTCTCCCTCTCTGAAATCAATAAAAAATATATTTAAAAAAAAGAATTACAACTAGAAAACTGATGAGAAGAGGGGCTGCCTCGGACTATCCAATGGTTTGGAATCAGAGAGCCTGAACCGGAAACTGGCGGTAGTCAAGCCCCAGAAATGTAGGTCAGACTCGCGGGTCAGGCCTCCGGCCAACCTTCCAAGGCTAAGGGGACCTCCTCTGGGCCTTCCAGCCCCGTCTTCATGCCTCAATCTACTCCCGTCCTTCCTCCGCCGCAGGGTCACTGAGCACCTCCGCCGTGGGGAGGCCCAGGCGAGGGCGGCGTCCAGAAGCACGAGTACGGTGTGCAGGGACACAATGACCCTCGATGTGATGGATCATCGATATTTCCGAAAGCCGGCAGAGCGAATGGACTGCCTCTATCTCCCAGGCACTGGCATCTGAGTTGGACCTTACAGAGGCCGAGTGAACACTGCAAGTCAACAAAGAGTGGATGGAACCAGCCATTTCAGCGGAGAGAAAAGGGAGCGGCTCCAGGGACAGGCAGGGGCCAGAAGCTACTGGAGACCGAGAGACGCTGGAAGCGTGAGGAGGTCTCACACCGCAGGAGGCTGGGGCCTCGGAGCCGCGGGTGCAGCCGGAGCCCGGCCCGGGGAGAGGAGACCGGGGGCTTCCCCGAGGCCTCCCCCCGCAGCCGACCTCAGGCCAGCGCCCCCTCCGCTCCAAGCCCCGCAACAAGCGGGGGGGCACGCCGCTGGGGGGCGGCCCGGCCGGGGGTGAAAACGCCCCGAGGCCCCAGCACCAGCCCGGCGGGCTGCCCGCACCTTGCCCAGCAGCCGTCTCAGACCCTCGCAGTCGAACTCCATCTCCAGGCGGGTTCCCGAGTCCGACTCCGCGACCCCAGCCCCTCGGCCTCCTTTCGCACCGGCTCCTGGACGGCGGCCGCCGAGGACCAAACTTCCCGGGAGGCGCACGGCCCCGCCCCTCCCCCGGCTCGAAAGTCAACCCGCCTCCAACGCCCACACTCCGCGGCGGTTCCGAGGGAAGTAGCGGCAGCTTGCCGGAAAGGAACTTGGGCACATCTATGAAGAGAGGACTAGCAAGGACCTGAGGAGAAGCAGTCAAGGAGGTGGAAGAGAGTTCCTAGAAAGAGGTGTTAAATTCAGTATCGAAAAAGACCATGGACGAATATTGTAGTTGGATTTAGGAAGGAGATCATGAAAGTTCAAAATCAGAATGTCAGGGACCTAGAATAGGAAGCCAGCGGGAGCGTAGTGGAGAACTGGGAGATAGGGACAGCCCTGTGAGGAGGATGCCGCATCGGGGGAGGGGTTGCCTTTTTTTATCAAGGGAGAGTCCCGTAACCATATGGGTGGTAGAGAAAGGCAACAGCCAGGTGAGAAAGAAAAAAAAAACACACACAAAAAAAACCACTTTGAAAATAGGAAAATAGGAGAGGCGGTAGATTGGTGGATTAGGTCACCTGAAGAAGGAAGGCGAAGTTATGCAATATATTGGCTTTGTTTGGTGATCTTGACTTGTGAGCTACCTGCTTTGTGTTCTTGGCTGGAGCTGGAGCAGGAGCAGGAGATATTTTTTTAACTGTTAAGAGGTTGGCTGGCAGTAGGATGATTGTATTAATTGGGAGACCTAGAGGCAAGAATGCTGTGACTCAATTAGGGAAGAAGGTTGAAAGGCTAGAAGGAGCATTTATTCATTCAACAAACTTTTGGTTAAGCATTGATATTGGCTAGTTATTTTTCTAGGTCTGATGATACAGAAGTGAACAAAATACACAAAAACATCAGCTTTCCTAAGGCTGGTGCTTTTATTTGTAGGAGGAGAGCAAGATAAATACAATAAACAAGTAAATGGGAGTGCATGTTATAAAGTAATTTTGTGTTATGGAAATACAATTTTAAAAGGCAGCATAAGGAGATCAGGGTAGGTCCCCTTGAGGGCGGAAACAATAAGCATTTCATAGAGGATATTCAAAGCAAAGTCCTAAAACAGGCATGAGCCTGGGGATGCTTGAAACAGCGAGGCCAGTATGGCTGGGGTAGAATGAAGTAAGAAGTGAGGAAGCATGCCGGACCGGTTTGGCTCAGTGGATAGAGCGTCGGCCTGCGGTCTCAAGGGTCCCGGGTTCGATTCCGGTCAAGGGCATGTACCTTGGTTGCGGGCACATCCCCAGTGAGGGGCGTGCAGGAGGCAGCTGATCGATCTCTCTCATCGATGTTTCTAACTCTCTGTCCCTCTTCCTTCTTCTCTGTAAAAAATCAATAAAATAAAGTGAGGAAGCAGAAATAGGCTAACTCAGAGAAATAAGAGGGAGCTAAGGCAGTGATTCTACCCCATGCAGTCCCCAGACTTACAGCCTCAGCATCACCCACAACTTGTTAAAAATACAAATTCTGAGACCCCACCTCAAACCTACAAACTCAGAACCTTAGGGGAGTGGGGTCGAGCAGTCTGTTTTAAGAAGCATGGGTAATTCTAATGCAAGAAAAAAATGTGAGAACCAGCGTGAGTGCTTTGCAAACAATTGTGACTGGCTTGTCAATGCCCTTCAGGCAGAGACCAGCAGGCACACACTCACACTTAAACAAGTAGGGTTGATGACTCCATAATTATAGGATTTGGGTTTTGGGTGATTTGGGAGACGGTGTAAGAAAGCAAAGCTCCACTTTGGGTTGGGTGCTGTCAGAAAGGACAATTCTATGATTGGTTATCTAAAATATCTATAAAATGGGCAACCTAGAGTGATGATAGAGCTGTGATTGGTTAAAAAAAAGCAGCAATTACTTCTATTTGCAGAGAGAAGAGGATGTTTGGTATTTTGTGGGTTATACAGTGACCTTATTTTTGCTTAGACAGAATTATGAAGTGGCCTTGTTTTGTCTTATTTTGTCATGGTCTGAATGACCCATCTGATGTTGGTTTTCTGTGAGACAGGAGAATCACATAGCCTAGCTGTGAGTGCCAAGTCAGCTAACGACACTGAGACAGAGCTGGGTCAGACCAGTTCCAATGTCAGGGGCTGCTTTTCTATTTGTTAGGCTTTTACTCTGAAAGAGGAAGCCACGAGAGGGTTTTGAACAGAGGAATGACCTGACCTGACGTGTAGTGAGTATGAGTCATGTGACCAATGATGTCACAATGCCCTACTAGACTCCAACTTCTCTACTAGGGAATTCTGGATCCCTTGGAGCCAAGGACTGGAACTGACATGCGAGACCTCTACCAACTGAGGGTTTTTTGAGCACACTCCTTTGCCAAGATTTGGTGAAAAGTCTTTCACTCTGCAATTGTGTCTTAGAAATCCTTTTATCATGATCGTGCTTGGCTGGATGCTTTTTGTTGGCCTTGCATGTTACATGGGCACGTTTCCGGAGTTTATGGTAAGTAATGATTCTGCCTGCAAATTCCTGGTAGTCAGTCCTAGCTCTGGCTAACCCTCCCAGCTGGGGTTTCTGACCAAATGGGAAAGATAGTTGAGATCTCACCACGAATTAGAAGTCAGGATGTGATGGGAGCCAAGTTAGTTTCCCAGGCTACTTCCCATCCCATTGGGACATCTTTAAATCCCCCTTACCCTTAGGTATATAGCGGCACTTATTTCAAAGCATTATGGGATTTATAAGGGCTCTGCCAAAGATAGTGCCCACCTTCTGGATTTCACTAAGTCCAGGCCAAGTTGCTGATCAGGAGAGGGAAGGTAGGCCTTGGAGGGGACTTTCAGCCATCCTACCAGTCCTATACAGAGACAGTTACCTACTGGACCAACAAGTGAAGCCATGTCTGCCTTTACATTTATTTCTGACTCAGACTCCAACTCTGAGGTGGAAAGAGAGGTGGCCTGTTCAGGAGAACAAGGCCCGACGGAACAGCCAGGCTTTGGATGAAGATCTGCAACTGTGAGTGCTGATCATGTCTGTTGGGCTGAATTCCTCCCTTTCCAGAGGACTTGATAACACCCTGAAATCTCAGTGGACAGTTTGTATTCCTCCGGAGAATATAATAAACCGTAGAAGGGGAAATGATTAGAGGTAGATAGCAGGGAATTAGAATTTGGGGAGCACTGCTAAAAAGCAGATCAAGGTTCAAAGATTTGTTAACAACTCTGGTCTGTTTTGAAAGGAAAGGTATTAGTTTTGAAAACTGTTCCCATCTATTAACTTACAAGCTCTATAATAAATTGGACCAGCAATTTTAATGCCCCTTTTGGCAAATACTGAATTGGAGTTAAGGTGAATTTGGGTTAAGTCCTAATTGTGCAACTTACTAGCTATGTGACTTGGGAAATTTTAATCTCTGTGAAGTGCAGTTTCTTCATCTGTGTAATGGAGATATCTCAGGATCTTATTAGTTGGATTATATTTGGGAATTCATGTAAAGCATTTAATGCAAAGCTTGAAAATTAGCATTTAGTAAATGTTAACTTAAAAACTAAGCGAAATCATGAACAAGTCAACCAATCATGAACCAGATTTGCTGTGGCAATGACCTCAACGGTTTATCCAAGGCCACACAGACCAACTTGTTTGCGAAGCTGGGATGTAAGCATAGATCTCTGGATTTAATAGCCCCTCACACTCATTCTGCTAGACCAGCCTACCTGTAGCAAGCATTAAGAGTGTCCTTTTAGCAAATCAAATCATCCCCACCCATTTTTTTTTAATATATTTTATTGATTTTTTACAGAGAGGAAAGGAGAGAGATAGAGAGTTAGAAACATCAATCAGCTGCTTCCTGCACACTCCCCACTGGGGATGTGCCCGCAACCCAGGTACATGCCCTTGACCGGAATCGAACCTGGGACCTTTCAGTCCGCAGGCCGACGCTCTATCCACTGAGCCAAACCGGTTTCGGCAACACCCATTTTATTCAGACCTGTTTTTTCAAAGATGTTACCACAGTTAAAGAAACTTCCTTCTGAGTCTTAGTAATGTACCGACTACAGGAGCAGGTTTTCTAGGCAGCTACGCTGAAGGCAGGGGTATTGAGTCTCAGCCAGCCCCAGATACTCTAAGAGCAAGGCATGATGGTGGTGCTTCCCCCCCACCCCCCTCTGCCCCAGAATTCCTAGGAGGGTATTGGCACAACACAGTCACACCTCTGTGGGGGTGGGGATGAGAATGGAGGCCCTGGGCACTTGTTTAGCTGGGCCATTGCCACACTGTGTTCCTGACCAAACTGCTGAAATTATCCTGTGCCTCAGTTTCTCCAGCTATAAATTGAGTGTAATAGCCCATGTTCCTTCTTTTCCCTTCTGAGGGAAATTGTAAGGAGGTTTACCTTGCATGAAAGTTTAACTGTGCTAGTTCACAAAATTCAAGATTTTTCACCCTGTCCAGGTAGTCCAGTTGGTTAGATTCCCCCATCAGGACATATACAAGAAGCAACCAATGAATGCATAAATAAATGGAACAACAAATTGATGTTTCTCTCTCTCCCTTCCTCTTTCTCTCTAAAAATCAATCCATAATTAAAAATTTTTTTTCTTTGAATAGTCCTAACAATCTTATATAAAGTAATTGCTCATAACATATCTAGCCAATTAACCCTTCCAGTTAATCCAGGGTATTTTTTGTTTTGTGTTTTACATAGGAATTCTTTTTTTTTTTTCATTTGACTGCATAAAGCTGAAAGTCAAAATATTTTTAGGTGATGAGTTAATAAAGATCTGATGCCAGCTAGATCCCAACTGCATAGAGTCAGCCACCAGGGAACAGGGGCGTCCTGATAAGGGTTCTTTAGCCCCAACACATCTGGCATCCTGGCCAACCATCCTATACTCACTCTGACTGGTCCCCAAGGTCACAGGAGCTGATGTCACAATTGGTATCTGAGCCCTGTCCCCAAAATGGCCATGGCAAGCCATTTCAGTTCAGACTAGACCACAAAGCTCCAGCCAGGAGCTATCATGCTGGGCCATCCACCATCAGGCCTTGAATGAAGACAGCCCAATTCCCAGGACTCAGGGAACACAACACACCTTTCAGAAACACCCATTTGCCCCTGCACACACCACCAACTGAGCCAGAAGCCCACAATGATTGTTGTCTTATGGATGCTTCTCATTGCAGGAACAATGTGGAAGGGATATAAGTATCCCCCAGGAGGGGTAAGTGTGCCCTCAACTTTGTTCTCTATTCCTACTTTGAAATGTGTTCCCCCAGATCAGCGGTTCTCAACCTGTGGGTCGCGACCCCTTTGGGGGTCGAGCAACCCTTTCACAGGGGTCGCCTAAGACCATCGGAAAACACATATGTAATTACATATTGTTTTTGTGATTAATCACTATGCTTTAATTATGTTCAATTTGTAACAATGAAATTGGGGGTCACCACAACATGAGGAACTGTATTAAAGGGTTTCGGCATTAGGAAGGTTGAGAACCACTGCCCCAGATAAATGAATTAAGCATCAAAATCCAACTCTAGTAACTTTAGAAACAAACACCCTCTTCTTTATTTCAAAGAAGTTATGTAGCTTACCCACTTCTATTACTATTCACTTTCCACTTACAGTTGGGAGACTTCCCTCTGTCTTTCATGTGATCTTTTACATACATTTTCCTAAGAGCCTCTATTCTTTTTCAGTCTCTTTCAAATAAACTGGCGGTGTAGAGGTCAAGATTTCTCAGGCGCAGTGTCAAAGCTGCCTGAAAAGGATGACCTAGTCTTGTTCTCATAGGACATTGTGTATGCCGTCTTCAATACCATTTCTTAGACGAGCCCACACGAAGAACCCCACTTAACTCTCCCTCAAGTAAACACTGGTTTGTAATGGTTCTGGTGGCACATGTCTCTCTCCTCTCTCCTCCTGTTGGACCTTGGATATTCGGCCTTTCTCTGCCTCATCAGCTCCAATACTGCTAAGCCCCTCTGGCAACTGAGATCGGAGGCATTTGGTGACAGAATTGGACGCAGCTACCCCTGTCCGCTCTTGGCAAGGAGGGCAATGACCTCAGCCCACACTAAGCATGACCCACCTGACATACTTTTCTCCCGTCAGATCCCACTGGAAACAAGCAAAGATGATCCTGGTGAAGCAATGCAGCTCTGAAGCCCTCCTGACCCACTGGCTGTACAGTTCCTGTTGTTGGTTTCACATAAAGTAATTGCACATTATTTTTTGTCACATTTTATGTAAAAAGTTACCGTCCTTTTAAAGATAAAGACTTGGTATTCAGTTAGCTCAAAACAGGGAGAGGGAGGCTGGGGAGGTAGTTGGGGGTGGGTGGAAGTGGTTGATTACCTTTTGTTTCATAGTCCCTAAGGCTGGTAGTAAGACTAAGATAGCCAGTTCAGTTTCTCCTCTGTTCTGTATCCTTAAGGATAGAAATTCTCAAGAGCTCTTTAGACCTATTTCCCAAGTAATGCCTTTCTCCTGGGTCCAGGATTGAAATTATGTTCAAGGGCTAGAGATTGCAGCAACTTTAAGCCTATTCTTTGGGGCTATTTCTCTGTGGTCTTTCCACAACTATTATTAAGAGCCCAAAGCTTCCACCTTGTGGGGGAAAGGTCCTCATTTTCATATTAGGTGTAAGATACTCAATTTTACATTATTTTAATCCTTCCAGTAACCGAGTAGTAGCCTCATTTCACAAAACGGCAAAAATGAAGTTGAGAGTCGTAAGCAACTTACCAACCCACGCAGCTGAGTTGCAGTGAAGGTTAAGATCCTGGCCTTTTCCTTGCATGCTTTTGTGCGTCAAGGAAAAGGGCCAAACAAGAGACTGGGGTATCTAAGATCTTGACTGCCTCATGGTCCAAATGTCTTCTTCATCTGTATAGCCAAAGAAGTGGCCTGATGATTCTTTTTGCACTGACTGCTGCTTAAACAGGCAAGTGTAGAAACAAAAGCTAACTGCTTAGTCCTCATTATGATGCAGTTTGAGTTTATGAGACCAAGGATGGAAACTAAGTATGAGATCTACCCAGTTAGCTGGGTGTCTGAGCCTTAGGTTATTCTGAATAAGCCCTCTAGTGATTTGGAGCTTTCTGACCCTAAGGGGAGATGGGGAGGGAGGAACAGCTCTAACAGGAGTAAACATAGTACTTTTAAAATAAAATGTGTAAGTTGTTCCCATTCTGTGGCTGCTTGGATGACTGATAGAGTTCCATTGTCAGGAGTGCACCCTTACCAGCATATCTTTTGGTTATGTACACATTTTGTTGATGCCTATTTGGTACAGATTTGCTGAACTATTTTGTAAGTGGCTCTATGCACTGAATGGATTAGCCTTTGTGTGTGTGTGTGGAAGGAAATGTGAATTCAAAACCCATAAGCAAAACTTTGTAATTTCTCAACCTAGGATACTAGCATCTCTTGTACTTATGACTTAGTCTCAACATATTTCATGAAGTGACTGCATTCTTCGGCTGCATGGTTGTGCCTCATGTATATATTCCTAAAGATTCATCTCAGGTCTTATTATAGGGGATCAGAGCTTGCTTTTCTTGATAAGTATATACCCAGTTCTTTTTCCCTCCAGTTCAGAGTACACCTCCAAACAGTTCTCCTAACTTGGGTGCCTTCTGGAAGCTGGTGGGAGAGATGATATGTCACTAGTAGGGTCTGAACAGATGTGAATGTATAAGGGAGAACGAACAGAGGCATGTGTATAAGGAGACAAACCCCATCTCTGAAGTCTGATGAGTCTACTGGGGTTTCCAGCTGGAAATATGTTCAGGGTGATGATAAAGGAATATGAGTTTTGGTAAATAAGTGCAAACCAGGGAGATATCAATAAAATATTTTTAATGCCTACAATTTCTTTTATACATAAATTGCAAAACTTTCACCTGTATGTGCAAAAGTAGATTCTCTTGCAGGTCAACAGCACCAGGTTAACAAGCTAAGCTATGTAAATGTTTCTAAACTTGTTTAGAAACAATGTTTATGTAAAAGAAATGATGGATTTAAAGAAACCTATATACCCCATTCTTAATCATACACTAAAACCTGAATATTTATTTCATCACATTCACTCATAAAATAAATAGTCTAATATATTCAGCACATTGAAAATAAACCAACCATCTCTCTTCATATATTTATTCTCTTTCCAAACATGTTTTGGTCTCCTGCTATATCTCAGAAATGTACCAGTAGCTGCTTTTAAGTTACAAAATACAAAACAGTAATTTATTTCTTGGAGAAAATCTTGGGGATTACATTTAAAAAAATGAAATTTTGAGTTCCCATAGACTTTCTTTTTTGTTAAGTCTTTGAACCTTTTCACGGCACACATGTAAGGCTGCCTGTGACATGTGGTACCCTGCCCTCCAAATGGACATAACTGCATTTATAGTATAGAGACAATACAAAGACAAGTCCTGAAAGTAGCCTTAAAAGAAAGTGCCCTTGCTTTGACATAGCAACCATCAAAAGCAAGCGGGACTGTGCAATCAGAGGCATACGAGTTTTATGAAAACTACTTTCCTTTCACGTCATCTGTTAGAGAATACCACACCCATGATCATGTAACATTATTACAACCGTGAAATAACATTACTACATTCGTGCATTAACATTATCCAATAAAAGGCACATCTTCAAATATTGAATTAATAAAATCTGAAAGTCAAAACGGAGGATACATTGAAAATCAAGCACTTAATTTGTAAACTTTGATAAAATAACAGCCCATTCCAGTTTCTTCAAAGGTTTGTGAACTTTGTGGTCAGGAATTACAGAATAAAGTGGAAGACAGGATTTGGAAACAAGGCCAAGATTAATTTAAAAGACTCAGAACTTTTCAAAAAAAAAAAAAAAAAAGAACCACAGAAGTGCCCTTTTATAATGTTGATGTTGCAGATTACTAAAATTCAACATCCATATTAGAGAGGAAACACTCAGAAGTGACAGACGCATAAGGACACAACCTGACTTCTTACCAAGTTCTGGAACTTCTATCTAGCACAATGGTGCCTTTCTGTACACATGTCATTGAGTAAAGTGCTAGGAAACTTCAAGCCGCCAAGAATCTTTCCGCTGTGACAAGCACTTGATTGTAATTGCCAATTTCAAAGAGTCTGAATATTGAAAAAAATTTATCCAAGAAAAATGAATTTGAAGGGGTGGAGGAAGTACATGGCAGCAAAGGAAATAATGTCCAAATCTGTTTTATTACATGGAACATCACACTACCCTCAAACCAATTTCACTGGACTGAAGGTATTTGAGATCTGTGAGGCAGTTAATAGGATTTTCTGCCACCAGTGTAACAGTCTATGTGGAGCATTAGGAAGGGTGCTATTCCTAGTGATGAAGACACCTTTCATTGGACTCAACTTCAAAATTAAATCCTTGCACTTTCAAAGTGTGAAACTCAATTCAAAATGAGTCAGGATAAGGGACTGAGTCACATGGTCAACTCATTAAGGAAGGCTAAAAATGGTCACGTATAATACCCAAACTTGAAGAAGAAAGATTTTTAATAAAAAGTAATACCACAAAACAAGTTTTGGACCTACTGAATAGTAAGGATTTTGTAGGACAACCTCTACTACCATCCAACAGCCTAAAGTAGCCACAACCTTTATTGTAGAAGTGTTCTGTAAGCTTTTGTCCCTCTGTCCCCAACCCTCCACATTTAGCATCAAGGACAAGTGCTCTCTATCATCAGCATATCTCATTTTCTGTCACTGACTTTCCTTGAGACTTAGCTTCTCTCCAGCTAGAACCTAAGTCAGACTGAGAATTGCTTGCATTTGAGGCTTAAGAGAGCTCAAGTCAATAGAGAGGACTTGAAGAAAGGTAAGGAAGCAAGTTCCACAGCCCAGAACACCACCAGTAGCAGGAAACATCCTTTTCAACTTGGGGAAACAATCTCTTCACAGTGCATAGTTTGAAATAAAAGTGCAATATGAGTAAAAAGAGGCAGTGGTGCTCTTGATACACATGAATTTAGTTTTTGGTTTTTGCCATTAATTGCTAAGGAATTTAAAGATAAAAATGCAAAGTCATTAACATCAAGAGATACAAGGGCACCTTGGATTCCAAAGTATCTTCATAATGGAGGAGTAAGGGAGTCACGTGTCACTTGCTTATTTTTTAAGCTATTACTCTTTCAACTCTAATCTTTGAATAAAATATTTTTTCTTCAATATAAAATGACTTTTTAGATAAAATTCAGCACAGTAACATTGTCTATTTTACAATAAATCTGAAAGGAAAACTTGGAAAAGAATATTCTTATACCAAATGGCATAGCTTGTTTTTTAAATTGAAATTTTTTTGGTTAATTGCCTAATCACCTAAATCAGTGAATAAGAATGCTCAGCATCCAATCCATGAATATAGAATACAATATAATTTATTCTACTTTTTACTTCAAAGTCACAGAGATGACATCCATATAATTATAAAGCCTACTCTACATTTTCAAGTTCTCAATCCAAACATATAGATTAGAACAGGTCACTTTATTGCTGGCAACATTCATGGAAGGGCCAGATTCCTCATAAAAAGACAAAATAAGTTTGATTGGGAGCCAACCATTGCCCTACTCACCCATCAACAGAATTATGGAAGTCAAGAAGCAATCTTTTTTCCTTTTTAAAATAGCAAAGGAACAAAAGAAGATTGGCTGACTGTTGAGTGGGCCCACATTAGAGTGCACAGCTCATCAGGATCAAGGCCGGCACCTGTGAGCAGTTACCTTCCTAAGAGCACTCACTGGGCATTATGTCATCTGCACTACAGATTTCACCCCGGAAAGTATTTGAAAATACTTTATGCTCAAAATATACAATATCCATTCCTTGTCCTTGAGGACCCAAGTATAAATCTAAAATGAGAATGGGCTTCTTCAGTCCGAAGGCAGGACTTCTTTGCAGTAGAGTGTCTCCAGAGTTTCACAAAAATAAATAAAAGCAGCAGCTAACGTCTTTTCAGCTTCTTGACCTTTCGGCATTTCATTGCTTCTTCCTCCCGTCTCATTTCCTCTAAGTCCTCTTGCATACCTAGTCTTAAACTGTCAAAAAAGGAAAAGAAAAAATGGTATTTGTCAATATATGTACATGAAATTGCTTTCCCTTCCCTTCCCTTCTTTTCTTTTCAGAAAAGGACTGTTTATTCCAATACTGCTGGTAGTATGGGAGAGCAGCAGGTCATCCACAAA